CCTGGGGGTAGTCTTATGGCAGAGCTACAAAGCAGAGTCCATCTCCTTGTGCTAAAATGGCAAGTTGTATGGAAGTTCTGTTGCAGTACTATTGAAGAACGACATTGGATGTCGTTCCTGTTCAGCTCGAAGAGTGGAAAATCGGGCAGTGTAAGATGCTCCAGAGGAGATTTGTGCCATTGATTTTGCTAGCTCATTTGCAGTATCTCTTTTGTCTGTGAGGATTATGCCATCTATTTTCAGAGCAGGTGCTGATATGGATGTGCTCTTTCCAGCGACCTTACGCACCTGTAGCACTTGTCTGGCCTTGGCTCGGGTCTTTTTGTACTGGATCAAAGTTACATCGTTTGGGCGTCGTTTCAACTGCCTTAATGCAGCTTTTCTTGCTGTGACAGCTTGTTGGCATTTATCAGACCACCATGGTACTGGAGGTCGACGGTGCTGCCTTTTACTTCTGGGAATGGATGCTTCTGCTGCAAGATGAATTCATGATGTGAAGTGATTAACAGCATCTTGAACACACTGGAAATCATTCACTGATCCTTGCAATACTGTGGTTGCTCTAAAAAGATTCCAGTTTGCATGTTCAAGTCGCCATCTCTGCACTCCATTGGCTGGAATACCATTCATCTCTTCCAAAAGTATTAGAAAGTGTTCGCTTCCATGGTCTTCCAAGTTAAATTCAACTGTGAATCAGGTGAACCAACTGACAGGTCAATATTGGAGAATGTCCCAGTTTGAATTTGGAAATGAGTAGGTGCGTCACTGTTCATTAAAATTGCATCTACTCTTGAGAACAAGGACTCCAAGGCCCTTCCTCGAGGGTTGCACAAAGTGTCTCCCCAGATGTGATGCCAACCATTGAAGTCTCCCAAGAGTAGAAATGGATGAGGCAATCTTCCAAATCATCAATGTTGAGATTATGTGGAGGGAGGTAGATGGATGCAAGTGTACGGTCATGTCAAGCCTATTCTCACAGCCTTCCCTTGCAGTGTCGTCTGCAGGTGGATGGCCTGGAAGGAAGGGAATATCCTGATGTACTCCCCCATGAGGTCCATTATCAAAGGTTCCAGAATGGGCTTCAACTTGGAATCCTCTCAAGGAAATTGGACGATTTTCCCAGGTCATAATCTCCTGTAGGCATACACAAACTGGATTACATGACGCTATCAGATGTTGCAGTTCTTCCCATTTTGCATGAATTCCCTAACAGTTCCATTGGATTAGGGTATCCAGCTCTTCAGGTTGACAAATTACTTCATAAGGTGCTTGGCAGCACTTGTGGTTAAGGTCCACCCCACACTTTTAGGCTGTCCCTTTCCAGCATATTGGGAGTACCTTTTTATGGGTTGTTTACCTGTGGAACTGGTTTCTACTGGCTTCCTTTGGACAGGCTCAAGATTTCCCTGCTTGGGCAAAGGACGGACCTGAGCTTTCGGTTAATAGCAGAGGTCCCTGTGGATGTGGTGGCAGCTGGGGCTGTCACTGTTAAGGCCTCTGGAGCCCTGCCTTTTGGTTCCAAAGACCCCACTCTAGGAAGAGTCTTTTGAACTGGGTCAGGATTCCTCTGCCCGAGCAAAGGGCATAGCTGAGCCTTTACTTCAGGGGCATTCTGCTTAGAAGCAGAGACCCCTGTGGATGTGGTGGCAGCTGGAGCTGTCACCATTGAGGCCTCTGGAGCCTTAACTGATGGCTCCAAAGATCTTACTTTGGGGGGATGAGTCTCCTCAATAGACCCCTCACTCCGACTCCGTTCCTGGTGGAACAACTCACCAGAGGCAGTTTCAGCATATGAGGACTGATTTTTAAAGGTAGTGACAGAGTGCGTGGTGTTAGAAGTATTGGGGGGTAAGTTCTTAGTAAATTTGCAGAAATCATACAAAATATAAATCTTCATTACCTCACCCCCCTACCCACCATGGAATCCAACAAGGGGAAGCTATAGTTGGGGCTCAAATTTTTCCAACAGCCATAGGGGTAGTAAGGAAATATACACTATTGATGGTAGATCCAGCCGACTGGACAATGCCTGCTTGACCCTAGCCATATTTGACCAGCCGACTGACTTGACTGGGCCTTGATCAAGCCACCTGTCTAACCAGAATATAGGACCAAAGAGGCATGTTGCCAACTGCCGTGTGCAGTATCCAGCATCGCTCAACTTCCAGGACTCCTGTCTCCTGCTAATACGGAACACTAAGCACGGCAAACACATGTGGGAGAGTTCTCTCTGGCTCAAGATGGAATGAACCAGGGATGGGTGCACCATCCTTGGTGCACCAGGAAGCCATTTTGTCTCATCCCTCACTGGTGACCCCTCCAGTATGGGTAACCCTCTGGTCTGGCTCACCAGTTCAGTTCGTTAGGGGGGCTCGTATATTTTCTTCAAACTGCTGTACTTGGCAGAACCAGATTGATGGGGACCTCCACAGTTAGCACACTTGAAAGTGATTTCAGTACAATTAACAATATCATGGTCTCCAGCACATTTAGCACAAGTAAATTTACTATTATCTTTACCATTGCATCGTAATGAGATGTCCATATTTTTGGCATCTATTACAGTGCATAGGTTTTTGAATGTAAAGTCGCACTTGAACACGTTCGTATCCAATCGTGTCATACTCAGGAATTTTACTTGAAAAAGTAAAAAACACAATCCTGTTTTTGTTTGCACATTCCCGTCTCTCTTGGTCATGCAGTTCACATCCGCTATGCTTTGGTCCTTCATATCAAGAATTTCACTTTCCTCCATTGTCCTTAAATTCCTGAATATTACTTTCTTACAGGTATAGAGGTCAATAGGGATGGTTACTTTAACTTTTAAATCATGAATCTGCATCGTTTTAAGTAAATCCTTAATCTGAGAGTTGAAGTGCATTTTTACAATGAGGCTACCATCTTACAATTTCCTGACAAAATCTAAATTGCCGTCCACTTGACTATCAAGAACCTTCTTGATGATAAAGGGGTTCACGTTCAAAAGCAATTGATTTTCATTCACACATCTGAAAGTCACATAACTTGCATTCTCTGGAGGGATTGCAAAAACTTGTCGTTCTCGTTTGTCAGAAGTAGGGGTTCCATTTACTACAATGGATATTTTTGGTGTGACATACTGTCTGTTTCATTTTGCTTCCAAGTTATCCCATGTGCATGGAATAGCCGGGGTCACCATCCACTGGCGGCAAGGGATTTGAACGCAGGTCAGCAAGATTGCTAGACGAGATCGCTACCGCTGCACCACACAGCACACAGCATTAGTCCTAGAAGAGTTATGGGTCGCCCCCCTGCTTGAGAAGGAGAAGGGGTAGCCGGGGAATCGATCATGCTGGGTTTCGGACCAAGTTCAAACCCTGGGCCCATGCCCGTTGTCCTGAAGAGACCAGATAACCCTTAACTCTTGATAATTAACCCAACAGCAAGAGCTAAGAGAAGAATGTGGCAGTTTCCGTCCTCTACCATCCCTAGTGGAAGCCTGGTTGTGTTCTCCAATACCAAAGAGGGATCGAGTTATGTGGAAGACACCTCCTTATCGACGAACTTGCCTATGCGAAGGACGGTAATTCGATTTCCACCCCAAAAGCGAATACGGGAGCCCAGAAGGACACTCCGGTAGGCTTAGGGAAGTCTCAGGAAATGAGGGAAAGAATTCAGAATAAAGAAATTGTGTGCCCGAAGGACGTCCTAGATTACTGGGCCTATCTACCCAAGGGTTACCCTAGTGTAGAAGAGTGAAGCGGGTCTAAGGTGGGGTGTTAACTTCCTCTACTGTAGACTCCAGTGACCTGCAAAAGCAAGGCACAGAAGGTGCAGGCATAGCACAAAGTGCTGTAAGTTCTGAAAAAGTCAGAAGTTTATATTACGTAATTTATATTAAGAACTCAGAAGCAATACCGCCGAGCATGATGAGAGGCCCCGGACACCAGGGTAGCTCTTGTGGCACAAGGCTTTTGATCTATTGCTGCTGCATATGAAAAGGGTCTGAACATAGCAAGATGTCATACACGAGTGAACAGTGACGATGTCAACTGTATTAACAAGAAAAACACACTTTCCCGCCAATTCAAGAAATGGGGAAATCAGGATCAGTCAATGGGGCTACTGATAGACTCTTTCCTGGCTGAGCACATGTTGGGCCATCTATAACAAAATTCACAAAAAAATACAGGGGACAGAACAAAAATCCAGGGTGATTGGGTTAACACCCACTCGTCTCTGTTGCCTTTCTTTTTCTCTTACACTCTTGGCCTTTACATGTATACTCTGGTTCACTGATATCTGATACCCTCAGATAGGTGGCCGAGCAATTTACCGTGTACATAAGAAGGATTTGTGTAAGCCATTAGACACAGAAACACATGGCTCTTTGCCATGTGTTTCCTGCTACAT